GTATTAACTCACAGCGCCACACCAGGACCCCATTTCCACTATAGGAATAGCATTTCTTGGGAGATCTACTTTCCTGTTACCTGGATGTTTTACACTTTTCACTCAGTCCTTCGTTGAACTGAGCAACTATTTGGGGCCTGCTGAGGAGGTGACATAAGCTTGAATAAGTTTCCTTATGGCAAGATACGTCGCTGGCCACTCTTTCTTTCCCTTCTTGTTAAGTGCCGTCAAGTTGTTTCCCACTCATAGCGACCCTGTATAGGGTGTCCAAAGAGTGGCTGGTGAGTTTGAACCATTGACCAGTGCAGTGCTTATCTTACAGCGCCACACCCAGATCTTTTAATAGGGGGCAGCCTATGTCTTTTCCTATCATCTAGCCCACTGATGAGTTTAGACTTGTATTTACAACCTCTTGCTCCGTGCTGATAAACCCACTGCCATTGAGTATGTTGTAACTCACAGCAACCAATTCATAGGGCTTCTGAAACTGCCAGTCTTTATGGGAGCAGACAGCCTTGTCTTTCCCCTGAGCAGTGGCTAGCAGGTTTGAACTACTGTTCTTGCAGTGAGCAGTTTAATGCTTAACTCACTGTACCACTAGGGCTCCGTACTGATAGGCATCTTCAACAGGTCCAAGTTAGAATCTGTGCACTTCTCCCTCTTGCCTCAGGATATTCTTCCTACAGCCAGCCCCATCTCAGTAAACTGCAGTTCCATCTTCCTGTTTGCTCAGGGCAGAAACCTCCCAGTCATCCTTGATTCTGTTTTCTCATATTCCATCGCTAACCGTTAAACAAATCATGTTGGCTCATCCTTCCAAATCATGTTGGCTCATCCTTCCAAATATGAGTTCCATTACTTTTAATTCCACTTGTCCCTGAATTTTTTTTTAATGTTTTATTGTGAATTATGTGATAGTTTACATGGGAGAACATGAATTTTACATTCATCCTAACGTAGATCGTTTCATTGCCATGGTTACAATCCCCTCCATGCATCATCAACCAACCAAAGCAACCAAAGGGTAT